GATCAAGTGTTCTGCGATTCCCATTCTTCTCAAAGTCAGCCACTCACTGAAAATGCTATCTTCTATTCACATATACTACTCAATTTGCAACAAATTCTTTTATCATGAAAAAAACCACTATCATGGAGGACAGCTTGCACCACCCCAGTAAGTGGCAGGGCTGAACGCTGCACGCATGTTGAGGACAAGTTAGCAGGGCAGCATGTGAGCAGGCACATTCACAGCGACACCCACACCCCTCCAGGTACACACACTCAGCCTTCCCTACTCACACCAGGCCCACCTCATCCCCAGTGCTAGAGACGTCCAGGGAAAGCCTGGAAGCAGGAGGCCTACCCAATGTTGTCAAGTTATAAACTGACTGGACAAATATTCAGCTTTTTCTCTTTATTCATATATTCACTAACAACTGACCAACTCAGGTCAGCTAAGTCCCTGGTCTCTCCAAGCCCCAAGAAGGGATTACAAATGACGTTATCCCAACAGTTAAACATTACACGTAACAATTCCGTTAAGGTTGGAGTTTCAGAAATGTCCGTTTGTAGAATACATATACACCCCTCCACATTTTTTTTAAACATGTATTTAAAAAAAACTAACATGTGATTACGGAGCAAATGACAAAAACTGTCGAATGCATACTGTCCACATACACGTATGGAGGTCCTTACTCACTGAAATTTCTGTTCTTGTATAAAGCATTCATCTTTTCGCAAAGGGGGTCAGATGGGAACCTGTTTGGCTTTAAGTGGCATTTTGGACTGATCTAAAATCAGTTCTTTCTCCTCTGCTCCTGTCTTCTTACGGTTTTTGGAGAATTTAAATTATTGGAGATCAGGCCTTGCCTTTGCTAACCTCTGTGGGTACAGAATGTGTTTTACAAACATCTGCTATTCATTTCACACACATAGAAGGGTTTTTTGGGGGAGGGACTAAGTAGTCACAGATCTTAAATAAAGGCTCTTGTGTTTTCTTTACAAATGCCTCCAAGCAAGGTCTCTATTGGTTTCTACTTCTGAAAATACTTTCTGGCTCTCAAAGTGGAATAGTGGCAAAGTGTTTAAGGAAAAGACAGAAGGACCAAACCTTATTTTACACAGGAAGAAGGCACAAGCGGGAAGTCTGCATGTCCTGTGTGGAAGCTGAGGGGACAGGAGCTGTAAGGCGATGGGCCTGGTCACAGCGGAGGGTCTTCACACAGTGCATAGACTCCTAATGTCACAAAGCACCTGGCAGAAGGTGGCGCAGCACAGAGCCCTTAAAAACCAAGGCCACCCACATAAAAGAACTCAGGCTTGTTTCTCCCAACAGACTTGATAAATCTGGAGGGGGAAACAAAGAAAGGTTACAAAAGCAATGTGCTCTAATTCCTCAATTAAAAGAAAAACTGTATCAGACACTCCCTGTACACTAATCCACTGCCGCTGAGTTGGACCTGACTGAATGATCCTCTGGCGGGTTTCTGGGTTGGTATATCTTCATGAAAGGAGACTGCCTATCTTTCTCCTGAGGAGTGGCTGGTGGATTCAAACTGTTGACCTTTCAGTTAGCTGACTAACCTATCACCCACTAGACCACCAGGGCTCCTTATCAGTCACAATGAGTGTCAATGACTGTATGAAGAAAATGGGCCCTTTAAAATATTGTGACACATCACAGCTGAGGAAGAGGAGCCAGGCTGGTTTCCCGTTCTCTGATGCCACCATCGATTCTCCGCCAGCAGGAGGAAGCAGGTGGCCCATGTGCCCCACAAAAGTGGGGGTGGAGACAGAGGGTGTCCTGAAGGAGCGAAGGCAATGAGTGGAACCCCTTACTGGAAACACTTGCCTTTTCTAGAGCTCAAAGGTCAATCATGCTGCCTCAGGTGCAGTGGCCTTACTACAAGGACAGTGGGACGCCCCCATCTCTGAGCTCTGCAGTGACCACGCGGGGGAAAAGGGAGCCTCCTGACTGCGGGTACCCTCCTAAAGCCCCCTTCACTGCACTGCACAGCACTCTGAGTGGGTTATGTGCCGAGTCCATTCTGATCGCAACTCAATTTCTACTCTGCTGATGGAAACTGAGGACTGAGAAACGTGATTAAGATTCTAGCAGATGACGTTGCATAGTCCGAACGTACTTTTTTTAGCCTTGGCCTGTCGCTGCTATTTCCTGCAGTTCTGTCTTCTTGAATCTTGCTTCCTCCTATCCTGTGACTCCCCTAGGCCTAACCAAGAGTCTGAGAACACTGTGACAAGGCCTGGGGACAGGAGCAACCTCACAGAAAGAAGCATTTTGGGGTTCTGTCAACACAGCAGTGAAGACCACACCTACTGAGGACCTTCTAACAACGTCAGACATACTGCTGCTGTCAGATGTCGTCACGAGGGGTCTGACTCACAGCAAACAGAGTGCAACACTGGTCCCCGGCGTCTTCTCAATCACTGCCATGATTCAGCTGTGTGGCAGCCCCTGCTGTCTGTCTATCTTGTTGAAGGCTGTTCTCTTTTTTGCTGACCCTCCATTTTACCAAGTATGACCGACAGGACAAGGAAAAAAGATGCAACGTAAACAATTTAAGGTGCTCAGAAGTCCAATCCAACTTCATCAGGAGGAGAAAGTTCCAAAATGCAAAACTATCTGCTCCTAAGAATGCCGACAATCCTAGGTGTCTGAGTGCTGGTGGCAGACGCATGACGCCTGGGAGGCCCTGTGTCTGCCTTGCACAAAAAAAGGCCAGGAAGGGCAGGAAGGCACTTCAGGTGTACAATTCCAGGTAGCACAGCCTGAGAGCCAATATGAATTCATGGGCATCACTTTAATCCGCTTCAAGGAATCTCCCTATTGAGGCACCGTTGTATTTCACAGTGAGGAAGACCAAGTCGCTCAAGGTGGTCATGCCCCGACCAGTCCTCGATCTCCACGCTCAGGCAGCATTCAAGTACCCCACAGCGAGCAGTAGGGCCAGGGAACCAGCAGCAGGCTAGTTTCGTGCTTCCTCTGCAGTCTCTTAACTAGGAATTTCAGTTTTAAATAAAAGAAAATGAACATTTTTCAGTTTCCCATTCCTTTCCCAAAACAATAAGACAGCTTATAAATTAGATGAAATTGGACCAAATAACAGCTTTAATTATAAAATCAAGCTTGGAAGTTCAGGAAAACAGCACCTCCAAGGACCTGGAGCCATTCAGACACCGCTCCTCAGACCTGAGGACAAGGCATTTGGCTCCTTGGCCTTGATCCCAAGTCCAAGCAGACTATCTGGGCCCCAGGTAGGCTCGGCTCTGACAGCCCCACAGTCGCCACCAAGCCTGTGACCAGGGAGACAAGTGTTCCTCCTCCAGGTTTACCAAACCAAGCCAAGGGGCTATGCCTCGGCCGACGTACCCTGGAATTCAGAATGATTTTGATAAGCTTCTCAAGGGCACTCAGACAATCTCCACTACTCCGTCCCTGCTGGGGTGAGCTACGTGCTCCTGGAATTGCACGAGTAGGCCCAGGAGGACGTGGCTCCCAGGCTGCTGAGCCTGGCGACTAGGTGGTACCTTTAACCTTGGTTTCCTCGTCCAGAATCGAGGCTCTGTGGACAACAGGCCCTGTTACTAAGAGCCCAACTCCAGTGGGTAAAGGGATCTCAGACTCCAGTCATATTGCTTAGAGCAGGACATTCACTTCCCACCAGCACACCCTCCTCGGCCTCCTCCCCACCTTCCAATTCCCCCTCGAGACTCAATTCTTAACCTTCGTGAGATGACTAACTTCACTCTCATACTGCTGTTGAGTCAGAACCAATTCAGAACTGACTCTCCAGGAGGTTTTCAGAGGCTGTAAAATGCACAGGAGGAGACTGCGCCCCTTGTCCTACTGGAGCTGTTGGTGGCGTTACTGCCTGAGAGGCGGCATCCTTGGATTGGCAGCACAACACCCCGGGACGGTGTCCCCAGAACTGCCCTCGCACAGCCTTAACCAAGTCCAAAGAAACCCACGCCACACTCCCCTCCACAGGAGGCGGGAGCCGCGCTCCGAGCCAGGCGGGACGGTGCCGTTCGCACACCAATCCCAAATCACAACACTCAGGCAGACTGCACTGGGAAATCACCCCCACTACCACCTTACCAAAAGAATACTGTCTTTAAAAATTCCAAGTCAGTTTACCATTGGAGGGAGTTTGATTCAAGACACAAAGAACACTTTCCTCTCAGAGTTAGTCTCCGGTGAGGCAGAAGCATTTGCTTCCTGAAGACACACTAAGGCCCCATCGAGATAGTCTAGCGTGGCTTAAAGAGGCGCGAGAGCCGCAGGGACCATTCCAAAAGGAGATGAGGATTCTCACAGATCACCCTGAGAGACCCTACAAGTGAAGCCCCGGCCAAGGACATGCGTGTGTGCCTTCAGCCAGTCCGGTAGGCTGTCCTGGGTGCATGACCCTCACAGACTCGTCTCCTCACACACTCTGACAGGGACATTATAGTGCCGGTCATCCTCGGCGATAAGCGTCACCACTGGCCAGTCCTCTGGGGGATCGGTGGGGTAGATGGTGATGAACTCTTCGGTGTTGTACTTGGAGAGGCGGTAAACCTGGATGGTGTGGCGCACGGCGTAGGACAAGAGGAACATCTCCACCTGCAGAGAGAACAAGCCGTTACACTGAAGGACTCAAGCCACAGCAGCTGCCTTGGGTCAATTCTGACTCACAACCACCCAGGGGGTCAGAGGAGAGATGCCCTCCCATCAGCCAGAAATTCATGGTTAGCCATCTGCACCCCCCGGGACAACCTGGTGTACAGGAGGGCACAATGCCTGTCTCAGCCAACCAGGTAAATCACAGTGAGCGCGAACCCACACACCGCTTCCTTCCCTCGGTGTCCACTCCCAGAGCTGTCTGTACAGGCACCAGAAAAAAGCTGAGCATCAAGAACGGATTACATTCCTAACTCCACAAGCGGCCGAGCAGAAGCAGCAGCTGTCTAAACAGGAATTAATTAGAAAGCAGGGCTTTATGGGGGATGACTTGAGGAATAAAGTCTTAGCGATTTCTAACCCTTAAAAAAAAAAAGGAATGGATTATATCTCTAAGGAACTTAGAGACAGAATAGAAAAAGAACACTTATAACTCAATAGACTAACCAGTTTTTAAAAATTAATGAAGGACTTTAATAGGTATCTCTCCAGAGAAATTATACAAATGCCGCTTTATTAGTAGTTGTTGCCCTCAACACGAGGCACTGAGTCAATTCCACCTCACAGATCCTATGTTGTGCTTGGACCAAGGGAGGACTGCCCCACAGGGTTTTCCAGGAGCAGGTCACCTGATCTTTCCTCTTGAGGAGGCACTGCAGGGTTTGAACCACAGACTTTTCAGTTAGCAGGCACTTAACTACTAGCCTGAGTACCGAGTCAATTCTAATTCACAGCAACACTGTCAGAATAAAACTGCCAGAACGGTTTCCAAAGCTAGAATTGTATGGAAGCAAACTACCATATCTTCTCCTCTTGGAGTGATTGTAGGTCTGAACAACCTTTCAAGTAAGCAGTCAAGTGCTTAATCATTGTGCCACCATGGATCTTTCATTCTCATGAGTGAAACACAAATCAAAGTCAGAGTAAGATACCATTTCATAACCTCACACAATTGCTATAATGAAAAGATGGTTGACAAGTAGGGAGGGGTGACCAACAGCTGTCCATGAACTTAATTAAGTCTGTTCACAGGGTCGCCAAGTCATGGTCGACTCTACAGCATCTAACAACAATGGATGAAAGAAAACATTTTAGAATTTGGGAGAGGTGGGCTTACACGACCCTGTGAATGTATGGAATTGAACCTTTTATAATGGTCTAAAAAGAATTTTATCTTTGGGTGAAATTTATCTTAAAGATAGTAATAAGTGTTGGCAAGGACGTGGAGAAGCGGATGGACATAGACTTGTGGTGGGACTGTAAGATGGCACAGCTGCTGAGGGAAACGTGGGCGTCTCCTCAAAATGCTAAACCAGGAGCCGCCATGCTGTGGCACTGGTGCCATCAGGTCAGCACTGACTCGGAGCAGCACCACACGCAACACACGACACGACGCCAGGTCCTCACAACTGCTGCTGGGCTTGAACCCAGAAGGCAGCGAGCAGAGGCCCAGGGAAGTCTCCCTCGTCTACAGAACACACACGGCACCACCGACAGTGTGTGCCAGAAACATGGGCGTTCAACGTGCTGCTACTGAGGCTCTGGAAGAAAATGATGAGCCTGATTGTTTCTGTTCAAATCTTTGTTGGAACCAGCCCACAATGAACTTGCACATCTAGCTGAGTGGATTTCTAAGCAGATCTTAAAGGGCTCACATGGTTTCTCCTGGCCACTTAGAGAAATGAGGCGGCAGCGTGCGCCTGTAAAGGTGTACAGCACTGGTCACTATAGAGGGTATTTCTACTCTGTGCTACAGGGTGGTGTGGAGTCAGAGAGACTTCATGGGGTGACTTGGGGGTTTCTGTTTCTCTGACACATCAATGACACCGGTTAGTAAAGGTTGTGTCTTTAGTCTCTTTGGAGAGATAAAAGAACTTAAACAAGTAAGAGAAAGAAACAGAGACGGGAAAAGACAAGTGCCACCACATTAGCTGCAGATCAGCAAGGAGCTGAAACTGAGAACTCCCCTCGAGCTGATGGATACAGAAAGCCTTCCTCTAGAACAGAAGCAGAATTCAGACTGCTAGCCTCCTAAACAGGGAGCTCTGGGAGCCTCATCATAAGGAGTTGTGCTGGCAACCCAAAGGCACATGGTGCAAATCCCCCAGCTGCCCCATGGGAGAAAGATGGACAATCTCCTCCAGTGTGATTAAAGTGCCTCTGAAAACCCACCAGAAGGTCAGCTATGAGTCTGCTTCAACTAGACTGTACCCAAAAACAGGCTGCCTAAATGGTGAGAAAATAAATCTATTTGTTAAAGCCAATCACTTGTGTTAGTTCTGTTATAGCAGCGCTAGGTAACTGAAGACACCACCAAATATAGCCAGTTACCAAGATTAAACAAGACTGTGCAAGGGCCTTGCAGTCACCTGAAAAGGTGCCTCCTTCCCTTCCTGTCGGGTAGGGGGGACTTGGGAGCTTGCTCTCTAACAGACTGTGGTGTGCGTGAGGGTATGACATGCAGGCTGACGTCCTCACAGGCCCCGCAGTTCTTCTGTTCTCAGATGGCGCTCTCTGAGGGAAGCCAGCTGCCAGGGCACAAGGACTCTCAAGGAGTTCTATGGACAGACCAGCCGTGTGCTCTCCTGCCAACAGCAAACCGAAACCTCAAAAGACCCTGAGTCAGGCAATCCAGAGAAGTCATTCAGAATTCCTGGTCTGCAGGAACTGTCAGGTAATGTTTCAGGGGTAAAGTGTCTGCGTTTTGGGGTACCTTACCTGTTCAAGTCCACCAGTGTGTCCCACCTGGTTTAGGTGGTTCCTCAGCAACTGTCCAGGGTCACTGGATGTGTCACGGGCAAACAAGAGAACAGAAAAGAACGGGACGTCCTTTCCCTTCTCCTTGTCATCATAGAGTTCAATGGCTCTGTTCAGCATCAGGAACTTGACCGCTTCGTAGAGGCTGTACTCCTCCTCCTCATTGGTGAACAGTTCATCGCAGGCCACCTGCCTGGCTTCTGCAGTCCTCATTTCTGCCAAGCTTGTCCACTACAGCAAGAGAATCACACATTCATTAGAATTTTTGTTCTACAACATTCTGGTATACTTTCAAAATTTCAGAAAGCCTACACTGAAGAGAGACCTGTGGTGAAGCCAATGATTTTTAATTTTTTGTGACTTTTGAGAGAAACCATTACTGATCATTCCTAAAGCCTAACACTTACGCTAGCATCTCCTAGTCTCAATCATTAAGATTTTGAAAATACACCAGAACTATACTAAGAGAGTTCAAAGCTACACACCGAGGCTCACATATTCAAATTTATAGCTCAGAAAGAGAGTATTGTTTGGGCCAAATTCCTTACTCTCCTTTTCTCATTAATCTGAAACAAAATTACAATGCAGTAAGGAACAGTCCTGGGGACAGGGAATGGGATTTTCTACCCTGCAGACTCCCCAGGCAACGAGAACTAGGTATGGAGGAGCTCTGTCAGTGTGGGAGGCCTGTGTGTGAAGCTGTAGCTGTTAAAGTGACTACTCCCCATACGGGGCTTCCAGGAGCATCTACCACCCAAAACACAAGGCCCACACCCAAAAAGGATGGGTGAGGAAGATGAGGGGCTCTTCTGACCATCAGGTTACCAAAGTCAGCCCTCTAATCTCTGAAGAATATCCACGAGCTTCAAATGGACAAATCTGTTCAGGAAACTTGGACTTCTAGTTAAGAACAAGCAGAATGTTAGGTATTTAGTTAATACAGACCACTTTCGTGAAATGAACAATAAAACCCTACAAGTATATATGCTCTAAGTTAAAGTGAACGAGACTAAGAGATGCAAAAAAACGTCAATCCTGAGGAATTATTTCTCTCAAAACCTACCAAATATTAATAATCCAATACCGGCACCAGACAACTCACCCCAGGACTAGCTAAAAGCTAGAACATGCTTCCTACATCTCCAAGTATTCAGAAGGCCAACTTGGCTGTCAAGGGCACAGCTTCCAAGTCAGACGGCTTGGATGGGATCCACATCTCAATACTGAGGGGCCAGTAGCTTTTGTGGGGACGTGGACTCTGAGTCTTGGTCATCCGTGAAAAAATGGGATAACCATAGCAATTATCCTCAGCACTTGTGAGAAAGAAGTAACACAGGAAACACTTGGTACAGAGCTTCACGCAAAACCTCAAAGTTTTCAAGTCAGAACCGACTTGCAGCTGCCCCTCCAGCTAAGGCTTCCCTATTAGAAATTTAACTATTTCACTATATAATAGAATAATATGTACATCTCCATTAAGAATACAGGGTGCTGACAACTCCCCATTTTACCAAAGGACTCACGGGCAGAGTCAATGTTCATTTACAATGACCTGCCCAGAAAGCGGCTGAGTGGAGGCTGAGAACTGGCCCACTGGAGCTGTTAGGAGTCAGGGCTCTCACTATCAGAGACAGATGACGGTATGTGTCAAACCTTCTTCCTGAGCAGGGTAAGAGATTCCTTAATTCTATCAACCAGGTCCTCACACTTCCCATCGAATTTCAGTCCAAGTTTCCACTGCTTGATCCAGCTGTATTTGCTGATCAGTCTTTCTGGTAACTGAGACATGAAGAGACAAAGAGATTAAAAGCTTTGTTAACATTCCCAGGAGCCCACCACAGGATATAAGAGCTACGACACAGGGGTAGGAAGCTGGGAGGAGAAGGTAAGGGTGTGCACATACCTACAAATCCTACCACAACTAGCTCTGCCCTTCTCTCATCACACAGTGCTTGTAACAATGGCCTCAAGCATATGAGCAATCCTGATGATAGCGTAGGGTAGGGCAAGGTTCAGAGCTGAGGTTCACTAGGCCTCTTGACTCAACAACACCCAACAACAACGCCATGGGTCATCTGGTGTGGGAGGATCTAAATCTAGAACTGGTCGAGAGGGAAAGGCACCATCTGGCCTGCTGGACTCCGAGGACGTCAGAAGTGCCCACAGCCCTGTGAAAGGTCTCCTCCCAAGAGCCCCCGTGGTGCTGGGCTCATCGTCAGCCACCAGGCGGCCTGAAGCACAAGCCTAACGCCTGCTGGTCTCCCATTAGATTCATGACCTCGGAAGCCTGGTGGAGGGTCACTACGAACTAACTCAACGCCAGTGGGTTTAATGCTCACTGCAGAAGGGCACCTGGCAGGATCTGACAAAGTCCAGGGGAAAATAAAAACCAGCTCCCTTCCTGTCCAGACGACAAAATCTAGATTCTAATAAAAGGAAATCTACTTTACAAGGTCAAAAAAAGATCTTTCTGTCAAGTGACAAGGAATTTCACTATTCAGTGAAACACAACTGCATCTAGCTGAATTGCCTCCCCAAGAGAGTGGGACACAGAACACAACTAAGAGGCCAGAGTCCAGAGAGCTGTGGCCAGCCAGCCCACGGGAGGCCTGACCACTGAGCACCCTGCCCTGTCCCCCTACTCATCAACAGGATCTGGAGCGACACTCAAGTGGATCCATGACAGCCTGGGAACATTCGTCAAGCGTGTCTGGATGGATCGCGCAACCAGACTGGGCAGAGGCTGCAAACTTCCCTAGAAGTTCACCTCTAAGTGAAAAGATCGTTAAACAACAATGAAATCCTCTGACCTAAGCATTACAAAGGCCGCTCAGACGAGGCTCTGCTCAGTTCTCTGTGGCCCAAAACTCCAGCAGCCCTTCTACGAATAGTCCGTGCCGTGGGATATGCTTAAAATGCTTAAGCTAGAGCAACTGTGTGAAACTAAGAATTAATGTGATTCCATGTCTAAAAATTCAGTGCGGCAGAGGGACGCCACGAGCTCTCCCGTCACCACAGGAATAGCACACACATTCACGTGTGTTCTGCTCTGCTTGTGAAGGTGACAGGCAGACACAGCCAGTTGACAGCATCACGCACTCGGGCAGCATGTGGGCCGTTCCACAGCTAAATCATCGCCAGACCCTAACTCGCCCTCCAGTGGCAGCAGGTAGAATCACAGCTGGCACCGAGCCGTGGGCCAGGAAAGCACTGCTGGGCGTGGGCAGCGGCTGAGACCGGCTCTGGAGACCGGAGACCCTGACCATACACAGGACAACACTGAAGAGGTCACTTCCTCGCTGGGGTGACTACTTTAAATGCTGAGGTCCCAGAGAATGATCATAATTCGCCAGTGAAAAACCACCAATGAGCAGGAAAGAATGAGAAAATTTGAATTATTTCGAAAAACAAACAAACCCAACAATGAATGTGTCTTTAAATTCTCAGGAGTCAACACAGCCATTGTCGTTGAGCTGATTCACCCCTTGCCACCCTGTAAGGCGGAGAACAAATGCCTCAGACAGTTCCCAAGGATGAGGTTTTGAAGGAAACACTGTCCCATCGTTCTACTGCAGAGCGGCTGGTGGTGGGTTCAAACTGCTGACCAACACTTCAGCCACTGTGCCACGTGGCACAGAAACAGAGGAAGTCCTCATCTTCTCTCCTAAGCACAGTAAGACCAGATTTTTGTCAAAGTAAAGAAAATTTATGCAGGAAATAAGAACTTTCCAAAGGATATAGTTAATATTAGAGCAGCTGTTCAGTGTAGGTGGACCTGCACTTGGGACAGAATTCAAACAGGCTGCTTTCTCTGGCAAATGCTTCCAACTCCAAGTCACCACTGGGACTAAAGGGCGAATAAACAAGAAAACGTGTCATCTCTGAAGCCAATTCGACAATCAGCTCAGGAAGAGAGTCTATTCCACTCCAGGAAATTACCACCAAGGTCCAACCCAGTCAACACACAGGAAGAGCTAGTATGCTTGGAAATCCAGGACCCAGCCCCCCAGATCTCACCCCTCTCAGGGCCTGAGCAGCACACGGCTGAAGACCAGCCAGTCCACGCCATGTCTAAATTAGGAAGGTCAGATGTCCCGCCCACAGCCCAACAGACTCAGATCTGGAGCCGGGAGGAGGCTGGGAGAGGAGGCCCTGCTGATCTGTCAGGAGGGCCAGGGAGAAGCAAAGTCCCATCTCGCAGGGGAGAAGACCAAGGCCAGGAGCAGGGCAGCCCTAGAGGAGCCTGGGGTCTCTGAGCTCACATAAGAAAGTCTGGTCCATCTCGCTCTCCTGCTTCTTCTAATGTCCTGAAACCAACTGATGTTCTAGGAGAGCAGAGATGGCAAAGTCCAGAGTCCGCAGCTCTCAACCTGCACCACAGCTTCTCTGGGTTCATAAAACATTGTGATAAAAGGCATCAGCGCACCAGGGGTCAGAGACTTCAGCAGTGTGCGGCCTACAGGCCATGGGCTGGGGTTGGGTCTGGGTTCACAGACTTCTGAACAATTAGGTGCCCCAGTGTTGTTTGTCCCCAGAGTGGGAGTTAGGCAGAGTGGGGGACAGTGAACAAGCACCCCTTCAGAAGCTCTAATTAGTAATGCTGAAACTCAGTTCCCTCCACCCTGCCTGCTGAGAGCATTCCATGGTCCCAGACCTCATGGCCACATGCATACAGGACAACAGAGGAGTCTGTGAAACAGAGGAGTAGGCATCTCAGGAAAATCAAGAAACAAGGTAACTGGGGCAGATACACCTCCAGAAGGGTCACTGTGGGTCTGTAAGCTCCTTGGGTGCACTAATGGCTTGCCATCCACTAGTAACCTTTGGTTGACAGGTTGACCTACTGAATGGTGCCAAAGAAGCAAGTTCTGGCAAGATGTTTCCATCAAGATTACAGCCAAGAAAACCCTCTGCTGCACTTGTACTCTAACGCCTGTGGTCACCATGAGTCAGACTCAATGGCAATGGGTTTGGTGTGGGTTGACTGTGGGTGTTTGTAAAGCAAGTCTACCCTGTTTTTAACACAAGTCATTTACACCACCAGAAGCCGCAGCAGCAGGAGCAGGATTTTACTCATGGTGACGGTACACACAGGACTCCTGCTCACGAGGAAAGGGAAGCAGGAGAGGGGCGTCTTCTATCACACCAGACACCTCTAAGACTTGTTTTCTAACAGAATGATTCACACATGTATGCTGTTCACCTGCACCGTGTGTGTGTACATGTCTGGAGATGGTCAGTGTCTCCCCACCCACCACTGGGGTGCACTCCCAGCTCTGCAGGCCTTGCCCCTCCCGCCATCTCTTCTGCTCCCTTGGACCAGCCTCATCCTACTATGGACTTGATCATTCAATGAAACCCTTCTCAGAGGAGACTCTGCAAAGGAAGAGGAGGGTGGAGAAGCCACAGTGAGAACAGGACAGCATGGCATCAGGAGAGGGTCCAAGGCTGGGAGGGAAATGGTTCGACCCAGCATAACCCGATGAGCTCTGCCTGCTCCTTCCAGCCAGCACCTCAGTGTCAGTCTGTCCCCTGAGCAGCACTCTGAGTGATGCAACGAGACAAGTGCGCTCAGGAGGCGTGAAGTGCTGTTGCTGGGTGAGAATCAGTGTGCACTGACTCACAGCTGCTCCACATGCAAAACAGAACTGCCCAGTCCTGTGTCACCCTCGCAGGATGGATGAGGCCCACTGCCGTCAACCTTGCTCCTTGAGGGTCTTCCTTACTTTTCAGACCCTCTTCTTTCTTAAGCATGAGGTTCTTCTCCAGGGCCTGGTCTCTCCTGATGTTGTTGTTATTGTTAAGTGCCATCGAGTCACAGGCGACTCATAGTGACCCTATGAAGGAGAGTCCTCAACGCTTGGGTGCCTTTCATCCTCTCTCCAGGTTCACAGGGTTTCCGGAGGCAAGCTATTATGGAAGTGGATGCCACTCCTGCTTCTAAGTCTGTCCTGATAACATGCCCTAAATATGTGAGACAAAAATCTCATCATCCTTTCTGGCTGCAGTCTTTTCGATACAAATTGTTCAATCTTCTAGAAGCCCATGGTATACTCAATATTGTCAAAATCCTCATTGAAAGTGATCCAATCTTTTGTCTTCCTTACTCACTGACCAGCTTTCACAAGCATATGAAACCCCCACAGCGTGCGTCGGGTCGACCGTAGTCCTCAAAGGGCCGGCTTAGCTTTCCAGCACTATGACGAGGCCTTCTGCCCTCCATCTGCCCAATGCTCTGTGCTGCTTGCTCTTCTGACTGTTGCTACCACGGACACTAACTGTGGATTCAAACAAATCGTAATCTTTTCTCCATTGATCATTTTCTCGTTTACCGGTCTAGTTTTGAGAACTTCTGTTTTATGTTGAGATATAACCCATTCTGAACACTGTGGCTTTTGAGTTTCATCAGTAAGTGTTTCAAGTTCTCCTTGCTTTCTGCAAGCATTACATAGGTAGTTAGTCTTCCCTAATGAACTGTTAATGGTGAACTGTGGGAGCTGGAAAAGACGACAAAGGAACGAGTCTCCTTCAGCTGGCACGTAGAAGGACCCAAGTTTCATAATCTTTAATACAAAACCAACAGGCAGGTATGAAATGTTCTTCTCTACTTCTTGACTTTCAATAAAGATTAGTGACAAAAAAATACCACTGTGACCAACTCATTAAACTGTGCCTTCAAAAGAAAGAAAAATTTGTTAACTAATACCTCTCAAGAGTACTGAAGAGCAATGATGTCAGGCTGGAGATTAACGTGCACCTGATCCAGGCTATAGTCTTTGCAATTACGTGCTATGCATCGGAGAGTTGAATAGTGAATTGGGATGACAGAAAGAGAATTGATGCCTTTCAGCTGTGGTGTTGGAGAAGTGCTGAACATACCATGGACTGCTAGAAGAACAAACAGGTTTGTCCTGGAGAGTGTGAAGCCAGAATGTTCCCTGGAGTCAAGGACTCTGTAACTTTGTCTGACATACTCTGGGCATGTTGCAAGGAGGGACTGGTCCTTGGAGAGGGACATCATGTTTGGCAGAGTGGAGGGACGGTGCAGGAGAGGAAGACCCTCGATGAGATGGATCGATTCTGTGACTGGAGTAGTGGGAATGAGTGTGTTTGAGAAAGCGAGGTTGGCACAGGATAGAACAGCATTTAGAGCTCTTGTATCTATAGGGTCACTATGAGTCACAAACGACTCGATGGCACATAACAACAACAACTAATACACCGAGGGGAAAAAAGAAAATGAAAAAGATACTTGAGAAATTAAAAATTACTTTCATACCAGTCAAAACAAGTAATGCACTTCAGAGGCCCACAGCTCCTGCATATAATACACTCTAATACCAACCAAAACTAGAGGCTGTTGTTAGATGTTCTCAAGCAGGGGGTCCAAAGTACCACAGAACAAAATGTGTCCGCTGTCAGTGAAACAGAAGACATTGCTTTACTTCTACAGGAAGTGCTTGATGCTTCTGGAAAAGTATGAAAATGCAAATTCATGGTATCAAGTAAGCTTATACATGTAAACAGCTCCTTAAAGTAAAGGCTCGAAAGGGAAACTGTGCCTCACACTGAGGAAGATTTCATGTCGCAGTCTATAAATTATCTAGTACAAAAGGTAAAACAAGAGAGCCATCACTCAGTGCTGGATTCCCAGCGCAGTCCACTGTCCACATGCATCACTCTGTCAGCTGACCAATGACGCTGAAATGCTTTACTGCTGACAAGTACTGTGATAGGCAAAAGAACAGGAGCCAAGCATTTCGATAACTTACCTTCACGGGTTTTGTTTAAAAGTAAGCTGATCCTAAAAAGTCACTTAAGACAGCATTCATGATCACGTAAAAGAAAGTGTCTTCCCTCATGTACTTTTAACTTGTTAGTTAAATTTGTGTCTTCTAGGCTACAACAGTTCCATGATACATCTTCAAAGATATGAACATATATGGCTAAGCACAACTAATAACAGTGCATCTAAATTCCAAAATCAATCTCCACAATAGTTTATGTGTTTCCTATTGCCAAAGGGGCCCTTTAGAGTAGGGAGAGATCTTCACCTTTAAAACCTACAGCGTCCCTTTTCAGCAGGAAATAGCTAAGAGAATATGCCGTCCCCTCTTCCTTATGTATCAGGGTGAAGTCTCTCTCAGGGAGGAGTGATAGGGAATGGCAAAGGACACACTAACAAAGGAGATTAATCAAAACTGGCTTTGACAAGCACTGTGACAATGGGACCATTAAAACAGACTCTCAAGGAATATTCAACCTGAATCCTTCTGATTATACGGAGATTTTTGAAAGTATTTGAGTTTATTATGTTTGTTTTATTTGTGTATAAAGGATGCTCATCTAGATGATAACATAATTATGATAAAAACAAAAGGTGGAAATATGGGAAGCCAATACTAAATATTTGTAATAAACTGAATGCTATTTAAAAAAAATATTTAAAAAAAAAAAAGAAAGTGTCTTCCACAGACAAGGTATGGATGGATGGTTTATTTGCTAATTTCACAATGGTTTATAAGATGGATAATCCAAACATGGATGGTATCCATCCAAACAGATGGTTTCCTTCCCCCTTGATGCTGGTTTTGCCCTCTGGAGCTGTGGAATCTCTTGTCCACTTCCCAGACCTCAAACGTCTTATCCAGTAGTGGCTTCCCCTAGAAATCATCTCTTCTCCAGGTGACTACTCCCTGCTTGCTCCTTTAATATTCCCAAGAAGAGAAGAATCATGGGTGTTAGGAGGCCATGCTCCTCCTGATACCCACCTGCAGGTGAAGACTCAACACAAGGCAGACAGCTGAGCTCAGTCCTTGAAACAGACCCTGGTCAGTGCTAGCCACGCAGGGGCTGCTGCACCCCTGTGCTGTTCCCGTCAGTGCAACATCGTGTCACCTCTGCCGGACATCACACCCCATGTGGGCTCACACTGGGCTTGCAGTTCATCAAAGACCTCAGGTCTTTTTGTCTCTCAAACTGCTGTTAAGGCAGGCTCCCCCTTAAGTAGGGATAACGAATTTTCTTCCAATGAGTGTCATACTGTCAGTTCTACCAGACTCTTTTGGAACTGTCTATCCAGAGCATTGTGTCCTGGCCTGATCCTTGTCATGGACACACTGATGTACAGCTTCCCAGTCACAATTAAGTCTTGCATCAGGACATGAACAAGAGCCAGGCCTGGGGTACATTTCCTGACTCAACCCCCCTAAGAAAGCATTTCTCTCTTCCAGGGTGGCTGCTCAGTCCCTGACAAGGTCAGTCTTGCTAACACAGTAGAGCAGGTTCTACTTATTTCTCGAATAAATAAAAGATGTGTTTTCTAAAATCTCAGTTTCTAAACCCTAAAGCCCTCAGGTTCTTTAACTATAGAATGGACGTTAACACCAACACTTAAGCTAAACTCTTACAAAGCATGGACACAAACTGAACATTGTTCTCTAGTTCAGCTGAATGGCTTCAATCTGTTTGACCCTTTATGTTACCTGGGAAATACCCATTATCCTTGGCCCATGTTCTCTGAAATCACCCCTGCCACCACCGCAGAGGACACCCACAAACTGACATCATACCCCAGGCAGCACCAGCTAGCAGCAGGGTAGAAGAGGAAGTCTCCCCACAAGGAGGCTACGTGTGACACTGCGGACTCAAACCTGCAGACTCAAACCTTCGATGGCAGCGTACCAGCATGAGCTCTGGGTCCTGAAGCCAGGGTGGCAGCGCCGCCGGCTGGCTCATAGCCTGGAACAGCGTGGCCCTCAGCGCACAGTAATTGTCTCCACGAACACGCCTGATGGACGTGAACTTCTGAGAAACTTCCTCGTAGCCCTGAATGAAAAGATCAGAGAATTCAGAGTGGGTCATGACAGACATCAGACAGCAGGAAGAACTTTAATCGTGTGTGTGTGTGTGTGTGTGTGTGTGTGTGTGTGTGTGTGCTGGGGAGAGGCAGGGAAACAGTCCCAATGGAAAGAAGAATGGTTGAATCCTTCCTATGGGACATTCCAACCTCTTTTTTCCTTAATCAAAAGAAGTTACTGAATGAGAATATTGTATAAAATACCGCATGCGCAGCACATGCTATAAGCTAGACACAGAAATATACCAAGTACTGTTAAACATATGTGCCACCCCAAAGGTGGAATTAGAAGTCCCCTTCTAAGCAACTGCTGTAATACTCATTTATTATAGCTAATACTCTGAAAGCCATATTCTGTGTTCAGAGACAGAATTTTTAGTGGACAGAAAGGCTCAGAAAAACACCCTAAGTGTCATTAAAAATACACATAAATAAATTTCCAAGTTTATTTAGTTATATAAAGAGCCAAATGCCAGGAACCAAACTCCGATATACTAGGAAGTATACAGATTATTCTGTTTTAAAAAACTGTTAAAGGATTGAGTATCATTTGCACTCAGCCTCGAAGTGAAAATGAGGAAATGAGAATGTCCAGTGGCATAGTCAGTCACTCAAAGGCAGCCCTCCAGCTACACAACTCTGGCAAGTATGCAGAAAGGGCTAGACAACTCCGACAAGTACACGCACAAGGGGGTCCATTACTACCTAACTTGGGAGGGGCTGGAGAGCATTATGCTAAGGGAACTAACTTAGTCTCACAAAGACAAATACTGTAGAAGACCATTAATGTGGAATGAGAATGAGGACCCAAGGTGGGGAGTGGGGAGCAGAGTTGTGAGGAAGGGCGGGGTGGTGGTGGTGGGACTTAATCACAGGGTCGCACAATCTGTTGAGTGTAGGGTGGAGCTCCCCATTAAAACAAGCTTGGAAGGAGGAGTGGCACCCACTTCCATAACAGCTTGCCTCCGGAAACCCTATGAACCTGGAGAGAGGATGAAAGGCACCCAAGCATCAAGGACTCTCCTTCCTATAACAACAGGGAGGGTTGGGTAAAAGATGGGGGAAAGATCCGGTGTGAAAAACAGTGTATATGAACTTTGTAAGTAAAGCAATAAAAAAAAAAAAGATGGAGGGGAAAGGGAGGATAAAGGGAAGCTACAGGATTGGTACCCACGGGACCCAGGCACTCAGATGACCCTGCTTCTCCAGCCTGACCGGTTCAGACTCTGATCAGAGTCCGAATCAGAGACTGATGCTTGCCATGAGTAGCAGAGTAAGGGCTCTTTATGCATTTCCTTCCAATAGTATTTAGAGACAGCACTTTCAGTCAGTATGATTTTATTTAGTATCTTATATGTCAACCACTGTAGCAGATGAGAGTCCATCATATGCACACTGTGCATGTCTTCCCTGTGGTGGACCCTGTCCCGTCCCTCGGGAGTCCTCAGGATGGCACCTTCCCAACAGCACCCTTACACATGCCACTGCCAAAGAGAAGTGAGCTTTGTAAACGAAATGTAGCTTTATACACTCACTTCCAAATGAGTGCCAAAATAAAGTGTGTGCATGTGGACAACTGAGGACTGCCACAGACTGAGACCTCACTGTCACGGGGCAGTAAGCTCTGGGAGAGGCTGCCGATGGCACTTTCCTAACTGACCTGCAGGGAGGATTTGGTCACTAAGACAGTCTACTTGCAGGTTCCAATCATTTCCTGGAGCAAAACCCACAGAGGAATGTCTCTAGCATGAGCTCCTGAATGTGAATATTTCAAATGGCTGAATAAGTATCTTCAGTTACAGTCTCCAAGACATCAACTGTAAGTGGCAAACCTCGAAAAAGACTAAGGTCTGTTAGAAAGGCTAAGTAGAATCAATCACATGTCAATGACAAGTGTTTCCAGGGGAGCCCAGAAGAGTTTAGATACCTCACTTCCTGGTTATTTACAACTGGGCAAAAGCAGGACATCTGAAAGAATGGTTGATTAGTTATTCAGGAAGTGGCCACACTAAGGTAAAAAACTCTTAACTTCTGCAGGTAAGGTTACTTTTCTATTGGGATGATATAAATTAAGAGTTAAAGTTTCACTGTTAAGTGCCATAACAACTCATAGTGACCATATGAATCTACCATGTACCATCTTCACAATCACCAATATACTCAGTCCATTGTCAGAGTCACATCTTGCATGTCTCACAATGAATATAACAGTTAAGCAGGTTAAGAAAAAGTAAAAAGTCAAACAGTACCAATTTCACACAGTTCTATTTGACAATTAGCAGTTGTGTACACAGGACATGTTTTGCAGGCAGAACCAACAGGGTTTGCAGTTCAATTGGCTTTGGGAGGATCAAAGCATTTGACTGAAGGATCAAACACTTTCTTCTTCAGTTCAGTCACAGTTGTCTGCAGCAGGACAGAAAGGGCAATTCCAAGGGCACTCTAAATGAGGGTGGCAGTTTCCAATGTCTCTGAACAGAGGATTCAGAAGGGGACAGACTCCCCAGGACTGGAGGACCAAAACCAATCCCAGCAGGTAGTGAGTAGACCCAGAAATCCCAGAACAGCAGATTTCCCCAAGGCAATGTATCTTGATTTGGGTATAGATTGTAGATCCAAATAAAATGAAATTGCAGACAACTTCAATTTTTCTCCATCTGCCTATTCTCAATGACTTTTAAATTGTGTTGCTGAAGAGTACTAAATGTAACATGGACTGCAAAGGATAAACAAATCTATCTTAAAGGAAGTGCAACTAGAGAGTTCCTTAGAGGAAAGGCTGATGAAACTTACCTCACTCACTTTGGGTGTATTTTCAGGAGGAACTAGTTTTTGGAGAAGATCTTATGCTAGGAAAGGTAGAGAGGGCCAGTGACTCAACTAAGTGGACTGACAGGGAGCCAGAGCATATCAGAGAGCATGAGGATGTCTCAGGATAGGCCAAGGTTCAGATCCACTGCTCACAGGATTGTCACGTGTCAGCTGACTAGATGGCACCTAACATCACCACGTGCTATATACAACATACAATGTTATAGCAGGTAATTTGCTCATATTAGCATGTTCATTTGCAATGTTCCAAGACTGGACGTATCAAGTGGCAGACAGTAAAAAGCAGTAGTAACAGCCAAAATGGTCCATACTCATCTTACATCAGAAATGACTTGGAGTGGAGTCATGAGAACGGAAGAAGCCCTCCCTAAGTCAGGGATGATTTGCACTGTGACTCTAAGTGAGTCGCTTATCTATCTTTGAGGTCTGTTTCCTCATGTCTAAACTTAGAACACCAATACACATGTAGTCTAATAGCAGCTGTCACAGCTAACTTCCACAAATATGAGAGGACGCACTGAAGACTTAAAGACTTCTCACATCTGTACAGATCTGCCCTACCTTTTTCATGCATGTTGCTTTTTGTGTATTTCCCCTCCATTCTTTTTTGCAGTAGTCCATGATATCCATTTCAGGAGCCACACTTAATCTGGGTTCTGTTAAGGATAAAGAAACACAATAAGGATAGAAACAAAAAATTTTCCAAAACCCAGGAAAACATGAAGCCTATCAATATCCTAATTACTGGTTGACAGTATGATCAGTATCAGTATAATACATGACTTGAGGCTCATTCTTTGCACCACACTTTCAAGAAAGTCCAGTATCCCACGGCTTCCGACACCCAGGGCCAGTCCATCACCTCTCTCCCAGATAACCCCAAAGGAGCCTCCCGTGTCACCCCACCCTGCAGACCCCCACCACGTGGTAGGAGGGCCATCTATTTCCAACCTAAGTCAGCTGATCTCCACCATTCCAGAGTTCAGGGAGCTCCAGGGGCTTTCCATGGCATGCACTGAGATCGTGTCCTCATCTACAAGGCATGGCTGGTGGCCCCCTCAGAGCCCTGCTGGCCTCAGCTCCCTCTACCCTGACGCTGCACTAGTTTCACCTGGACACGCCCCCGGCCTCATCCCCCACGCAGGGCTGCTCTCTCACTCTGCTCAAATGTTCCCGGAGCCCTCCAGCGTGCCATCAAATACACACCCACACCCACACCTCTGCACTCTACTTCCCCGGCAATGGTTTGCTTTCTTCTTAGTGCTTATTAATACCTGGCATGTTTATTTTATTACCTCCTATCAAACACACACACACACACACACACACACACACACAGAGCGCACAGGGTTTGTTTCATTTCTGGGCTGCGTTCTCAGTACTGACACACACGTGGATGAGTACTTTTTCTTAAATAAAAAACGCAATAATGTATTAGAAAATACATTTAATAATTTGTATATCCATTACATCATAAGACTTAACAAGGTTGATATTTCGTTGTCTGTTGATTTTATACCCTGCCCTGTCCCCAGGTGGCTCTAAGCTGTTAATGATAAACCTGAAACTGACAGCACTCTGTTCTAGTTGAACCAGAGATCTTATCTGTCTTAAATAAAATCCTTAGAAGTTACGAACATTTCTCATCAGACAAATGATATAGGAAGTGTGGCCATTAAGATGTTCTGTTTGGAGTTTATTTTGTGATCCACACATTTGTTTTGGAAGAGAGGCACATTCTCAAGCTTATCCTGACGACTTTCTTCTCAAATAACTGATGGTATACGATGCTGCTGCTGTTAACTGTGTGTCATCATGTCGGAACCAGCCCACAGCTGACCCTCCGGCAGGTTTTCTGAGGTAGTTACCCACATGGGAGGACACTGCTCATCCTTCTCCCGCAAGAAGTGACTATTTTTAAAAAAACCTCATTGTGAATAATTTTCCTTTTTATAATTTGTTACTGTGATTTTAACGAAAGTTTACAGACAACTTGGATTTCCATTCATTCATTGTTGCATATTTTCCTTCCCACACCCCTCCCCAGGTATGCTTTTTTCTTAAAAAAAAAAAAAAATAATAATATTCATTCATTGTTATACCATTACCTCCCTCCCTCCCACCCCTGCCTACTTTGCTATGCACCTCTTATTTTGGACTTCTGTCATGCAAATAATGCCTAACCATATATTCAAAGGCAAACAAACCTTTTTGAGAAAAGGGAAAATAATATATGTGTAACATGTGTCGAGATTAGTGTCAAACCAATTTCAGGTATAATAATACAGAGAGCTCATATATATTCTTGTTACATAGCCAATTCTCAAAGTCAACTGTTAAATTCAAGAACTGTTTTTGGAGTGGAGAGCTCTGATGGTGTGTCCATAGAGTGCGGCACACTGCTAATTCAAAGGCAGTACCTTTCCTGAGGTTCAACTTCACCAATGGCCCAGGAGGAGAAAGACAGACAATTTCTTCTTGTGTGATTCTGCTGGAGGATCATCTCAACAGCAGTGACAGTTCTCTTTAGTGGAGGGCAGTGTGGTCCCCTATCCGCCTTTCCACTCATTTGCTCACCACACTCAAGGAAGTGTCAATATCTAGAGGCCTGGACTTTTGTTACCACATTCCTCTACCTGACAAGTCAAGAACCTCTCGCCACTCCCTCCAGCCCAGCAAACGCCTCCCACTTCCTGCCCCCTTTTGCTGGCAGTTCTCATTCTGATCCACAGCAAGCTGAGACCTGGGCCCTGGGCAGGGCAAGGCAGGTGGTCCCGTCTTCTCACAGGGGTTACAGGCCAGTGCTGGGAGCCCTGTCTGGGACAATAAGGACTGAGAACAGGGACATGCACATACCTGTTACCAAAACAGAACCTGAATATGTATGACCACAATCTGGCACAAGAAGTGTATTGTAGAGTGTGATAAGGTGGAGTGGAGGAAGAATCTGGAACAAGAGGTGCATTGTAGGGTGGGATGGGGTAGAGTGGAGGAAGAAAATGTTCAATAATGCAAAAAAAAAATTATATATAAAAACCCCAACAGAACCTGAAGGCCCAGGCAGCTACCATTCTTGGGAGGACTCCAACAGCTGTGTTCTAAAGCAGGAGCTGGACATGCAGGAGAAGGCAACACCTGACCACACGCAGTTTTCAGTCCACAAGAGTTCCTCTTTCTATTTCATTCCAAATACACAGACTCTGACTGCTGTTTCTAGAAAAGAACACTTATCATGCATGTTCTATACCCCTCCCCAACCTCAAAAAAGATGCTAAAACCAAAGTGCTTCTCAGCAGGATGTGTGGAGCCCTGGTGGCAAAGTGCATTATGTATGGGGTTACTGACTGCCAGGCCAGCAGTTCAAGTACACCACCTGTAGTATTATGGGAGAAAGATGGGTAGTCTTTTTCCCATAAACCTTTGCTATGAACTGGAACAAACTCAACCACAGTGAGCTTGAGCAAGAGGTGAAATAATCAAAAGGCTGGGTTGTTAATTACTATATACAGGTAAATGCAAGGACTCAGGCCCTCAAAGATGAGAGTTAAATTAAACTTCTTTTTATAGAAAGCTGGAGCATTTTGGGGGTGCTCAGGGCAGAGATGGGCAAACTTGTTCTATAACGGGCCAGAAAATTAAATAAAAAAAATCGGTTTTGAAAGAACATAAGATCTCTTCCACGCTGCAGCAAGAAAGCAGTCATAGATAACATATATATATATATATATACACACACACACACACACACACACACACACACATAAACTTTATTTACAAAAACAAGCAGTTGGCCTAAATTAGTCCATGAGCCATTATTTTCCCATCTTCAGATTAGATGGGGGGGGGGGGAATCTCTTCACCAGCAAAGAAAATTCACTGCCATCAAGTCAGAACCAACTTCCAGTGGCCCTGACCTTCGGAGAGCTTTCAGAAGCTATAAATCACAGGAGGAGGTTGTTCACTGGTGGCTTCTGACTGCCTGACAGCTGCCACCTTTGGTTCAGCAGCACGACTCCCTAGGGACTATGCACCAGTGTTCCCAACATAGAGAGAAAATAAGAAAAAGCCTGTCTCCCCTGAGAACTTGTCATTACAGGTGGGCCCCTAAATTCCAGAAATAGCAAAAGTGTCAGGTGACACGCTGGAGTATCTGGTAGAAAGAGGTCAAATTTGCTCCACTCACGTCAGAGTGCACACTCTGATAGAAGCAGAGGCCAAGCTTACAGGTCAAAACTTGAAAAAAATAAGGAAATAAGCAAAAACAGCAACAGGCACCATTATATAATCAGATCACAGAAATAACAGATTTTTTAAAAAACACAATCAAAAAACTTTGCCCTTGAGTCAGACCCAACTCTTAGCTAAGCCTGCCTCGGGTTCTGGGGGGCTGTAAACTGCACAAGAGGAGACCATCAGAGAGGCGCTACCTTTGGGGTACCAATACAACTCCCTATAGCCACCTGCACTCCATCAAAAAAAGAATACATTTTAAATGTCTAAAGAAATAAAAGGGGATTAAAAGCATGAATGAAGAGCAATGCTGGTGTGGTGTCATTGGTTTACTGTTCAAAATGGCTTTTCTAGGCCACTGTCATCGACTCTGTCACACGGCTGGGCGCGAACATGCAACAGGGCATGCCAAAACAGGTCTGCCCAGGAAGTGGCCAGTTTCACCACGCTGCCAGTGTAAACTAAGCTGCTTGAGCAGCAGAAAGGGGGAATCTCACTACCAGCAAGGAAGCAGCAGAAAATGCAGTGCACGTCCCTCGGGGCCAGAGATTCCTGCACCAGCCAGACCAGGGTCCAGACAAGTGTAGCAGCCGCCTCAGCAGAGAACCAGAGACTGACACGAGAGAGAGTGGACTTGGGACTGCTGTCCCACTGAGTCAGAGCCAGGGGTCTTCACCCAAGCTTTCTGGAGGACTTGGAGGAAATGCCTCTAATTGGTGGGACCAAGGGAGCTTTACTCTCTGATCTAAGCTTGAGAAGCTGAGGAACTGTAACCTGTTGCCCACCTGAACGGTCACCTGTCACCTTCCCTAGTAACTCCGTAACGGTGAGTTTGTGAGATCTGTGTGGCTACTGTTCTGGATTTCGGACCCAGTAGGAAAGTAGTATAACTGGTGTTGGAATTAGTACAAATAAGTGGAGGAGCGTGGCGGACATGTCTGATCTCGGGGGAATCGGTTTTCAACTGTGGATGTTGCTGATAGGGTACTGTTCCTCTTTGTGAAGTTAACAAAGGCCAAGTTCGGTCACCCCCAAGCTTCCCTCACTCTTTTTATAGTTAGACTACTCAATGGGCAAATTAAATGTGGTCTCACTAGAGTGAGCCTGTTCACGTGTTTTTTCCACCAAGTCAAAGATTCTGCTTCTAGGTATGGCTGGTATCTGTCTCTCTTTCAACCCCCCAGCACTTTCCCACAGAAGGATCAAAGCTTCTTTTCAAGTTAACAATCTGACAGAAACAGTACCCAATAAGTAAGGTAAACATAGGTTTACTTGTGCTTACTCCAGAACCTGTAGTGATTTTGTTCACTACAGACCACGACGTAAGCACAATAAGCTCACTGGGTAATCTAGCCATCATGAAATGCACCACCAAGAAAAGACCAAGCAGAGCTGGAGGAAAAGAGAACTTCCCAGAAACAGAAAAGACAGCTCTTAACTGTCTAAAACACAACAGATAGGGCATATCCACCAAAGACTGTGTAGCTAAAAACCTTGCACGCCTGGGGGTTAATAGCATCAGAAGGGAATTCTGGAGAATATAAGGAGACTGGGAAAAGGAAGGAAAATGACACAACTTCAGAGTGAAGAAAGAAATTTATTTTAAAAAGCCAGGCCACATTTTTATTCAAAGTCCAGTCTGAGCACATGCAGAACACCAGGGGCAGACAGAGGGAAAAAGCAATGTCTATCAGGCATTCTGCTGTTAGCAGTATTTTCAACTACAAAGGAAAATACAACCTTGAAAAAGATGAAAGAAAACAACTCATCCAGAGTTATCTATCGTTCAGGAGAAAAGATGTTATTAATTAATCTCAGGAGATAGTTTCTTATGAGCTGAAGACACTTCTAGCGGCTACAGTGTAGCACAGACCATGAACCCAGAAGGAAGGAGATGCGAGATGGGCATTATAAGGACCTTAAGAACTAGAAGCCTTGTGTAGAGCTGCAGTGATAGCCAGAGCATTCGCACAGAGAGTCTGCGTGGTGGGAGAGAGCACAGGAAGTCAGCACTACTGGAGCGGAAAGAAACAACAGCTGACGAAGGCCTGTTCCTCAGGAGCACAACTCTCAAAGACCCTGAACCTGAACCGAGTCCTGAGCAAGTTAGAGCAGCAGGAGAGAAGGGCACCTCTGAAGCTACACGCTAGACAGCAGCAGGGTGGCCCAGGGCATTCTACAAAGACCAACTTCTTTTGATGACAGAGGTGTGCACAAGAAATATCAGCAACAGCAGATATGGAAGCAAATGGCCAAGCTGAGTATCCTGGAAATGCGACCTACCAGGTGTAACTAGGAAATGTGATTCCATTGTGGACACTGTAACTAATGTTAGGGAAAAACATGTATATGAAAAACCAATGTCACATCACAATAAAAAAATAAAATTAGGGGGACGATCAGCCCAATGCCACTAAGGAAAGGGGACAGAGGGACAGAAGAGAGTCAACAGCAGACACAGGCTGGCAGGCAGGCATGGGAATGAGAATTACTGAGAGGAAGTGTGGTAATACTGTGGGTACTGTAATTGATGTTAGGAAACAAGACACCAATCTGCTTTAATTTTCACTCAAATCACAATTTAAAAAAATTAAATTAAAAAAATACTACCTCCTGTGATTATTAGAGAGAAGCATTTCACCAAATGCCACTGAGGCAAAGTTGGAAATGATTAGGAAAAACCCTCTGGATACCATTATTTCTATTTATACAAGTGACAGTGACACTGTCTTTGTTAACCATAAAGTGAACAGAAACTAGTTCTCAGAACAAACCAGCAGAACCCACACATCACCCAGGTAATGCTAATTTAAGAGACTGGTGTTCGAAGCCCACCCAGCTGTTCTGTGAGAGGAAGAAGACTGGGCAACCTTCCTCCATAAAGATCACAGCCGAGGAGATCCCACGGGGCAGTTCTACTCAGATCAGCTCAACACCACACAACAGCATTCCCTACCATCAGGAGCAGTTCTCCACTAACTCAGCCACTGACTCCCGCTAGCAAAGCAGAAAGAAGGGGCTGCTCATGCACTGTCTGCACCCAGGCAGGGACAGGGCCTGGGGTGACAGGACAAGTCACGACAGGGGGTGCCCAAGCCCTCAATCAGTAAACAAGAAACCAGTGAGCACCACTGACCAGAGATCTCCTTTATCAATCATTTTCACATGGCCACCTGCCCATAAAGGCAGGCCAGTCTGCCTCTCCAGAAGCCTCCAACTATTATTCTGCCTTTCTAAGAATATAAGGAAATCAAGATCTGAGACAGCCTGGTGACAAAAGAGTATGCACAACAATGCTCACAGGTGAAAAAGATAAAGGAAAATAAAGAATGCAGGAAGAACACTTGGGTTAAAATTTAACAATCTCAGCAGTCATTCTCCAACTCAGTTCAGCAAAATGAATCATCTGATGTAGACAAGACCATACACATAAAAATGTTTTCTTGGAAGCACACCTAATATTTTAGGGAAACTGATGTACCAATTTAAAAGCATTTTGTATCACAAACAGTTAGAACTCTATGAAGAAAACAATTCCAGACATACCTGCTGACCCTCTTTCATGTATAAGTAATTCTCTCTCCTTTTCTATTTCATCCGCAGCACGATACATGTCCTCCTCACTGAAATCACACCAAATGAGACATTTCAAAAATTTGTTGCACTGATATTTCCCCTCTTATCACAGTACACAGCTGCTTAAAATATTTCTAAGACACTAAAATGGGGTTGGTTTTTTTTTTTTTTTCACATTACAGGATGACAATGTGCTAAAATGTCTCAGATGCTGGTATTTCTACTGTGTCACTTTATCCCACATTAGAGTTTCCTACTTTCAGTGAGACAGTTCACATGGTTCCAAGGGTCGGGTGGCTTTGAGACCTTCTTCTATTCACGTGTCAACAGCCTACCTAGCCCTCCTAGCCCGCAGTCTTGTTGATGTGTTCCTCAGATGATTCTACCCAGGTACAAGAATGGAGACAGCACTAAGAAAAGCAGTTAAGGGGCATGAGGCCACGTGCCAGCCTTTATAATCCTCCAGAAGCAAATTAAGAATGAGGACTCTAGAAAGCAAGGAGAGGAGAGCATCAATTACTTCAAATCAAGTCAAAAAGCTCCTGTAGGGTCTTCCCGTCCTCTCCACACTGGCCGACAGTCAGCTATGTGCTGAGGAGTTAGTAACATGTCCACTGTCTCACACCTGGCCCTTCCCTTTCAACAGCTGCCAAGATTGCTCCTGACTTACAAGAGCCTCCAACCTCATTTCATGAACTGTCTAGAACCTACTAGGTGTCAGACAAGGAGCTGTGCCCACTGCATGCTTGACAAATTGAAGACGAGGACTTCAGATTTTACTACGGCTCCTCTTCCCATTAAGATCCACCCCAAAATGACGATGATGGGGGAAAGAAACACCAACTCTGCCTTTGTTGGATCCTAAAGACAGAAAGTCAACAAAGGAATAGTAAATGCCATCAGAGGGGCAGCTGCTGGAGGGTGACACTGAAAACTGACAGAGACTTTCAATGAAGATGAGGTGGGGATTTTCTGGAAGCTAAGATTAGGGACAGAGCAGGGGCCATAGTGTCAATGGGTAGGCAGACAAGAGCTAAAAGGCAAGACCAAGGTTGGAGACTGGACCAAGAGCTTCAATATCTTGCTGGAGGAAAGAGACCAGTGACAGGAAGAGAAGTTTCAGTGCTCATGGGGGTGGATATCTGGTGAAGGACAAGCCAGCAGAGCCCCAGAAAGTGCGGGCACTGGAGCCACCAAGCACTACAGAGGAAGCATCTGACAGACATATGGAACTGAAAACAAGGACTAGCTAATGCCACCTAGGGAGACTCATGTCCCAATTCTGTATAGTTCCTCCTATGACGGCATAACTCCACCCTGCACACAACAGGATGCTCCAGGGAGGAAGGTGTCAGGTAAAAACAAAGGCAAAGAAGTAAAGACTTGACAAGTCCAGCTCCAACATGGCCAGATACAGTTGGGAGAGAGGGAGAAGTGGAGACACATATGAGGGTACTGAGGGAGACAGATTGAGGGAGGCCTCAACCAGTCTCTCCTGCAGGGACCAAACTACAAAGAGCACTAAAACCAGAGTGTGGGCCTGCCCTGCTGCACTGGCCTGAATCCCAGGGTTTCCTTCCACGCGAGCCACACTCAGCCCAGACCCCTGGGCTGCAGCTGCACATGTGTGGCTTGTTCTGGCCGCTCCCTCTACCCAAGTGTCTCACACACACTATCTGCCTCCCACCTAATCTGCCACCATTTGTGTTTATGACTCCTGAGAACGGTGCAAGGCTGAGAACAGGGACTCACTCAAACCACTCCCCATGTCAACCCCAACAGGTATGTAAAAGCCATGAAACTAAAATAACTGCCCCCTCAGGCCTCAGTTTTCCCATGTGTAAAACAGAAAGTCTTCAGGTCACAGCATCACTGGGAGAAATAAAATGACACACCTAAAACACTCAGCACTCAAAAAAAAAAAAAGTACTATTCTTATTAACGGTCACAAAAACCCACTGGTGCAAAGTATTACTTAAGACTTTGTTAACGATCCTTTCTTACACCTCTTTTCTAAGGAAGGCAAGGGTGCCCCCTGTTCTTAATGGTGGGGTGAGGGGCAACGCCAGAGAAAGGTACTTTCCATGTGCTCAGACTTCAGTGAGATTTCAAATAAAAGGTGTGATGTCACCACAGACCCTGCCAGAGCTGAAAGCAAACAGAAACCAGATTCACAGGATCTATGCCTCAGATACCTAAAATAAGAAGTGACTACACAAATATGCTCGTTCTTCTCTTGCTAATTTGATGACATCTTTGAGTAGGCATGTAAGGGGACTGTGTTCCTAATACCACTGTCAGCATGTCTTTAGGAAAGCTTCTCCTAGCGAGGCCTCAGCGTTCTCATTCAGAATGAGGAATGGACAGGACTGACCAGATCTCCACAGTCTCCTTGCAGTTAGTTCTGAGTTCCGGTCTAGGACCTGGGTTGTCATGCTGCACTTGGAGCTCTACAGCCAAGCTGCATGCACTCTTAGTGCGCCTGCCGGCCTCTTCACTCTAAGCAGGCATCTCTCCAATAGGACCAAGCATTTAAGCAGAAACCAACAGAAGGAGAGAAACCAGTAGAACTAAGTGCAAAGAAAACACAGAGTGGGAGATAATTAGAAATAAAAAGTAGTGATTTAGAATATGCACAAGCAGCAAAGCAGAAATTGATTAAGGCTGAGTGACTTTAGCCACCACTGCCAGATTTGCTCAGATCCTGTGAAGGAGTGTTCTTCAACTTCCCTAGTGACTCGTCATAGAGGGAAGCGGTAATATGGCCAAGAAAGACAAAGCTGTAGCTCCCAGGGAAGAGGAGAAATTTTTAGTTTAAGCAATGGTGAAAAAGGAAGATAGCAGACAGAATGAAATACATTCATATACCTATTTTAAGCCTAAAATAGTATATCCACAGAGAACTATTGGAAATTCAAGTTAAGTTCAGAAAAGGTCACAGCACAAGGGATATCACTGCTAGTGTCAGGAGAACTTTGGCACAATATAGAAAATACCAGAAAAATGTTTTACTGACTATGCAAAGGCATATATTTGTGTCATCAAAAAACAAAAATCCTCATCACTGCACCAATAGGTAATATGATAGATGGAAAAATTATTGAAGTTGTCAATAATTTCATTTACTTGGATCCACAAGCAACATCCCTGATAATAGCAAACAAAATCAAAGACGTGTTGTGTTGCATTGGGAAAATCTGCTGTCTCCAAAATGCTAAAGAGTAATGATTATCAATTTAAAGACTAAAGTGCTCCTGATCCAAGCTATGGTCTTTTCAATTACTGCCTTTGCTTCCAAAAGCTGAACAATAAATAAAAATGACATAAGCATGATCTATGGCGTTGTTGAATGGTGGTGGTGGTGAAAAGTACTGAATATCCATCCCACGGACTGTCAGAAAGAACAAGTCTATTCTGGAGAAAGTGCCACCAGGGTGCTTGGAGGCAAGGACGGTGAAACGTCATCCTGTATACTGTGGGCACGCTGTCAGCAGGGGCCAGTCCTTGGAAAAAGACATTGCTTGCTGGAAATGGTGGGGGGTCGGACAAAGACCCTCAATAAAACAGACTGACACAGTGACTGTAACAAAGGCTCAAGCGTGTGGGAGACGGTGAGGACGGAGCAGGATGTGGTTCACAGGGTTGCTGTGAGTAGCAGCCAGCCCGATGGCATCTAACAACAACAATTTAAGGGCAATTAGGAAAAAGGGTTTAGGATAAAAATAAAACACAATTCTCTTCAAAATACTTATTCCAATTAACTTCTAATCTGTGGGGTAAAGAGTTGCATTGCCAACCCCAAAGGCACATAGTTCAAATCGTGTTGAGAGAAACACGAGCAATCTCCTGGGTGACTTATAGCCTTGGCAAACCTGCTGGAGGGTTAGTTAAGTGTCGGTTCTGATTTGTCAACAATGAACTTCTGACTTAGTGTTTCTGTCACAGCTACTACAATGGTAAATGCATTGAAAAACTAAAAATAAAGAAAAAATGAAATTACATTTAAAGTTAGGAATCTAAAGTAATTAAGAGATTTGGTTTGAACTTTTCTAGGAAGGAAAGATTGTAAAACAATGGACGGAAAAAGGATATTTACAAGATAAGATAAAATAATGCTGAACAGTTCCAGAGACCTGATAAGCTGAGTACTGAGTGAAGTACTGCGTACTGAGTGAAGTTGGGGCGGTGGTGGTGTATAACTGTCTGACACCAAAGGAGTTCAGAGGTGGCTATTATCTCCACAACAAAGTGACCTTCCAGAAGGTACAGCTAACTGGAACCAGACATTAAAGATGGCTTGGAAACCCAAGCACATTTTATACAACACAAATTACACAACCCAGTTAATTTTTAAAAACCACAATGTTAGAACTGATCTGTGTTGTAAACCTTCACCCAATTCAAGTGTTTTTTTTTAAAAAAATTAAAACTTTCACTTATGTCCACAATATTATTTTTAAATGTGTATTTGAAAGTTGTCACAGGGATTTACCCTTTTGAAGGACTGAAATATTTTATTCATAAAATTGTCATGCTGTCAAATCAACTCTGAGTCACAGCAATACCAAATACAAAGGTCTGGAACAAGTAACTGCTGCTATCCACTGTGTCAATCCAGCTCAGTAAGGGTCTGTACTCACTGCCTCTCTATTTCACCAAAGAAAACGTTCTTCTCCACAGACTGGTCTCTCTTTAAGACATGCCCAAGGCACACAAAGTGAAATTTCATCCTCCTCGTTTTCCAAGCAGCACAGTGGCTATACTCGTTCCAAGACAGAGCTGTGTGTTCTCTGGCAGTCCAACTGAGGCAACGTTCTCTGCCAACACCGCAATTCAAATGCATGCATTCTTTAACCACATCATGTGGTGAGAGAAAACAGCCCGGCTTGGGTTGGATACACGGATACACCTTCGTCCTCAAGGGGCCATCCTCGTTTGTAACACTTTTTAAGGTAGTCTTTGGCAGCAGATTTGCCCAATGCAATTTGATTTCTTGACTGCTGCTTCCATGAATGGTGACTATGGATCCAAGTCAAATAAAATCTGG